CAGCTTACCTCTGTCAAAAGATCAGCATTGTTTACTTCTTCCAAATTTGGTTGACTTAGTAGATTGCAACCACATGTTTTGTTTAATAACAAACACATTGCTACTTCACATGACAAGGTTTGGTAACTAGTTTATGGTTAAAGGTATACCTAGAATTGAACACATAGTCAAAAAGAAACTAATACATTAAAACAAAGTCTTATAGCAGGAATATACAGATATTGCATTTGTTATATAATTTTTTAAGCCTTGTACAGATTATAATAGTACTATTAGGTCTCTTTTCTTTTTTGTTTTTTTTTTTCAAAATCTGTGCTTTTTTTTTTCTTTTAGTTTTTTTTTTTCCTTTTTTTTGTCATATTCATTAAAGAACTTTTTATTTTTTTTCCCTTTTGTCTCGTGCTTCTTGAGAAGAAGAAAGAATTAGGAGAGAAATTAGTCCTAATATTTTAGTTCTTTAAGAGCTAGCACATAATCTGAATCATCTGTGAATTAGTGCAATGGTTGCAGCTAGATGCCAATAGGTAACCGAATGAGGTCGGGCTTTTTGTTGCAGCTATATTGTTATTTAACTATAATTGTCTTTCGAGATTAATTTGTAAACTGTATATAAGTCTTGGCAAGAGTATCAAAGAATAAAAAAAAAAATAAAAATATCTAATTTTGATTGCATAATCAATAATTATATAAATACATAATATTTATCCTTTATAGCAATTTGTAGAAAAAATCTTTTTTTTTTTTCTTACTTTGATATTTCATAAAGCACCTGCAAAAAAAAAAAATAAGTGTAATATAAACATGACTGATACTTTAATGACAAATAAAAAAAAAAAGAAAAATCGTGACTTATAATAATTATATAAGTGCCCAGAAGGTTGCCCGAAAAATAGGGCATGACTCTACCACAATTCGAAGGTTTCTTGCCAAGTACTAGAGAACTAAAAAAATAGCAAATTTGCCAAGATCTGAAAGACTCTGTGCTCTTAAACAATAATAAAAAATGCTCTAGTAAAAGTGGCCTAAAAGAAAGACACAAGCCTTTGCATGCCTTAGTCAACAATTTAAAGCTTGATTGCAGTTTGAGAACTGCTTCTTGATCAGTCTTGTATAGCAGCAAAAAAGCTATTTCTTACAGACAAAAATATAAAGAAAGGTTTAAATAGTGTCAAAAATACCTGTCATATAGTGCCTATGATTAGCAGTATGTAATATTTTCTGATGAAACATCTGTTAAAATTGTTAAACAATTATGCCAAATTAGAGTATAGTGTCTTAAAAGTGAAAGGTATAAAAATAAGTACTTAACTCCAAATTTTAAAAGTAGTAGATGTCTGGGTTGTTTCATTGCCAGAATCAAAAATCTTCTTGTATTTTTTGATGAGTATAAAGAACCAAAGCAAAAAATAAATAAATAAATATATACAAATATCTTGAAAAACTATTTAGTATCATTTTATAAAAGAGCCAAAGCATCTTATTTATTAGTAGATGCAAAAATAATATTGTAACAAGACAATATACCAATATATAAAGTAGCTAATTGGTTTTAAAAAAAAAATTACTAAATTGAGTTGGCCTGCAAGATCTTCTGATTTTAATCTGATCAAAAATATTTGGAAGGTATTGAAAGACAATATTTAAAGCCAAAAAAATTTTTTAAAAGAAGTAAATAATCTCAAAATTGCTCTAATTGAAGAGTAGTCAAAATTAAATAAGTTAGTTTTTTGGAGTCTGTAAACTCAGTTTCAACAAAAATCAAAGTAGTATTTTATGCAGAGAGTGGGTATTGCAAATATTGATTAGACAAAAAAAAAATTATATATATAATGCAAATATAAAAAAAAAATCATGTATTTTGTTGCAAATTTATTTAATAAAAAAATTGGGTATTACTTTTGCCAATGACTATATATAAGATATGTCTATACTATGTAAAATATCCAATATTCAAGATTGCCTAAAATTGTCCAAGTTTATATCTCAAGTTTAAATAATCAATAAAGTAATTTAAAAAAAATATATAATTATATATTTTTTTAGATGCTAGATTTATTTATAAAAAAATTAAAATAGATTATCTTAATAAAATTTTGAGTAATTTTAATTTAAAAAAATATTTAAAATTGTTCAAAATTGGCTATATACAATACTGGCAATATTTATCTCTTATCCACAAGGCTTACAATATTATATATTTATATGGTATTATTTATTATTTGCTTCTTATAGAGGTAAATATAGTAAAATATATATATTACAGTTTTTTTTTATATAAAATAATAGTTTATAATTTACAAAATTCTTATAGAAGAATAACCAAAGCAGAGTTGATAGTAATTTAAATTTATTAGTTATACTAGTACAATCTAATTCTAAAGAATTACTTGGTTCTGTTTATAGTTTAAAGCTATATATTAACTGTTGATTTTCTAACTTACTTGTAAATTTTTATATTTGAAAATAAATAAATATTTAAAAAGTAAAACTTTTATTTTATTTATTGCATTTTTTGAAATAATAGAGATGAAAGATTTTCTTTAGTATAACTAGGCAATATAAAAATATTATATAAAAAAACTCCAACTCTAATCTAACTCTAATTTAAACTATAATCCTCACCCTAACTCTAACTATTTACAAATTTGCTTAAATTAGTTTAAATAGCTATTTTTATATATTATAATCTTATAATAATTCTATATTGCCTAGTTATACTAAAGATCAGCCGAAATGAGTAAAAAAAAAAAACTTCTCTAGTACTATATACCTGTATATTGTATATATATATATATATTTTTAATATTAAAGTGACTACTTAGGTCCCTGGCACTTAGCTTTATTCAGATAAATACAATATTACATCAATTTCATGAGGATACAACTAGCCACATGTGTATTTTTGGTACCTAATTTAAGTAGTCCGCCTAGGTTTAGCCACCATACCTGCAATCTAACTAGAAAATTATCTATTTAAGCTCTCTAATTATTTAACTAACGAGAGTACGACTAGCCATATATGTAACTTTTGGTTACCTATTTAAGTAGTCTGCTCTAGGTTCTACACTAGCTGCCGTACCTGCACCTAACTATGAGAGATACCTATTTAAATCCTCTGGCTCCATTTCTGTAACACGCTTTACCTAACACTCTTAATGAGATTAGCAATGCCATATAAGAACTCTAAGACTTTAGCCATATATAGGCATTTATCCTTGTTGTAAACCTAACAGAATGGTACATGTCCCACACATGTACTCACCTGCATGTTTGGTAACTTTTTTCAACTAGTACATGTTGTGCTGCCACTACTGGGTCCATATCTCAAGCTATCGTTTCGGATACTGCCGTAACCTGATTTGTATCTCAAGCCACAACTTTTCTAATTAGTTTTCACTTATGTACTCCTGCCCTTGCAAGGTTTACAACAACCCTAGTACTCATGTTCCAACTTCCTTCTTTCCCAGATTCCTTATCGGTCTCTCCTTTACTTCCAGCTGGCAACCTGGAAGAGTTGGTCTGCCCAGGCTCTAGGTGCCTTATGGTCTCCCTCTCCTTGGTATATGCTTCTGGAGTACAAGTCCTTTTCCTCCAGTGGCAAGCTGGCAGTTCGGCTGGTGTGTCCCCCTACTTAAGAACCTGGTTGCTCAGTTCTCTGTTCTTAGTTTCCGGTTCCAAATTCAGTCTTCCTGTAGCACCATCAAAGATCACTATTACTTCCAACTTGGGACTTGCCAAACAGGTTTTTAGTAATTCTGGTTTTCTGGATTTATTGTGCCAAAGCTCCCATTCAAGATGGTGTGACCAAGATTACAGATACAGTCAAACCTCTCTATAATCACACTGTCGGGATCATAGTAACTTTTTTTGAAAATATGCTTATATAGAGTATATGCTTATATAGAGGGTTTTTTTCTATATATTTATAATAGTTTGTTTTAAAATAGATGTGCTTATAAAAAGAATTTTTATATAATATGCTTATATAGGGGGTGACTATAGAGAGGTTTAACTGTATCTGGATCCAACTGATAATCTTAACGTTAACCGATACAGATCTAGTTTTTTCAAAATCGTTGTCTGTGGGATTCAAACTCTAGACCTGCCGTTTGGGTGTGCGACAACTCCACCACTTCACTAAGTTGCCACACCCTTTCCTGTATATTGTATATACTTATATATTAGATTACTTTAGCATATTGATTTAAGATTGATGTTTAATTATATATATATATACTTATTGTTTGAAGCAATAAGTAAATCAAACATCAATTTTAAATCAATACAGTATGTGTTTTTCCAAATTTGGCATTACTGAATATAGATATGATCTACAATGATTAACATCATACAATTTTCTAGAACTTATTCGTGAAATTGAATTTGATTGGCTATCAAATTTCATATATTGTAGATTATCAGATAGCAAAAAAAGTACTTTTAGAATGCCGTGTATGCTTATTAGTATATAGTAAAATCTCTATAAGTGTATACTCTTGGAGCTAAGTTTTAGCAACATGCACTTCAGCACTTAGAAATCAACAAGAGAAAATGCATTTATAGAGGCATGTATATATTTGAAACAGAGCTTGAGTGTACATTTTAGAGAGGGTGTGCACTTATAGTTGTATAGAGGGTGCACTTATGAAGATTTTACTGTAGAACTTTTATATGCTGGATCAAGAAGCTAGATTAAGAAATGCTGTGCGTACCTTTACTGCGTGCATTTAGAAATGTTGACTATACAACATCAAATAAGTATAACATACCTTTTTTTTTTTCTTTTTTGTAGCTTTATTCATTTTATATTTGAAAAAGCTATTTATTTATGACTACTTAAATAACCACCTTTTTTTTTAATTTTCAAAGTATTTTTTAGCTACTTTATTATGTTGTCTCTTTGGCCGCATCAACATCAGTTGCATTATGAAAATCTTGAACTTGTTACAAATTAATAATAATTCTTCCTTTTTTTTTGACCTTAATCCCCTAAATTGTAGTCATTTGGCTTTATTTAGGGATTTGACTAATGTTTTGATCATGAATACTACTTCTTCTTTCTTCAATAAACTTTTAGCTAATTGTAATTGTACTTCATTATAAGTAACAGGAATGGATCGGGTAGGTTTAGGACTAATTAAGCCAAGCTTTCCTTTAATATAGTTTATATATTGAGCTTTGGCTTTAATACTGAAGGATTTCATTTGTATACTTAATTTATTATTCCTATCTAAACTGTCAAAGCTATTATTTAAATTTAGATTTGGATTTAGAAAACCTATTTTTCTTAACTAAATTCGAAACCTTTGTGATTCCTCTTCATAGTCTGGACGGCTTCATGGACCTGAACTTTCAGAATCTACATATTCCATTGTAGTGAACAATTTTTTTCGTAGCTATCAAAATAATATTTATTAGGAAGAAAAATATTAAGTATATCAAATAATAATAATATACTGTATATTTTTATATTTATTATATTTATTCTTACCTTCATAAATTTTGTACAATTTTTTGTAGCCATTTCCCAATGCTTTTGAGCTAGTATAGGTAGGATCAGCGTTTTTAATGTCTTATTTACCTCTTTAAGTATAGCATCTAATTCCTGATGTTGATTTGATCTTCCTGATTGTGCTACAACAGAATTACATTCGATAATTTGACGAATCTTAGAATGAAGACGCATTAATTGTTCTTTATCAGCTACTTCAATTGCTTGGTAAATGGGATGCCATCTTGCAGACCAGATAGAAGCAAACATTCTATATGCTGTCGATTTAAGCAGAGATTGATTATATCTAACACCAGTATGAAAGTTTATAATTGCTTATAGGTACCAAAAGATCTAGGCATAATCTAATATTAGTAATTGGAATTTAAATTTAAATATTTATTACTAAATACCTGTTCATATTTTAATTTATATAGTTTATTTTTTTCGATTTTTAGCCCAATTAAGAAAACCATTAACAAATAGATTAGAGACTGAAGCAATGTATAGCCAAACTAATTCTATTGTCATTGCATGCTGGTAAATACTGCACACAAAATTCTATACTTTATGGTGATCAGCACATTTTTTAAAATAATCTAGCTGATTTTTAGTTCTATATTCTTGGCATTGTGCGAAATCTCATAAGTCGATGTTTCTGCGATATAACGAAATCAGTTATATTGGTCAGTAATTTAATAATTAATTATTAAGTAGGATAGTGAATTTTTTACTATATTGTTACTAATATAGTTTTTCTTTTTTTTTATTGCCAATTCAATTCCACGAAAGCTTTTAACATATTCATTTCTTTATAAAGTGGACCAGGCAACAAAATAATTCTTCGATTTGAGATATATTAAGATTTTGATATAGCCAAGGGTTTTCAAAATTTTGTATTTGATTAATAGAATCAAAGTTAAATAAAACAAAACTAGTGACTATATAAAAAATTACTTTAATATATTCACAATCTAAATAATTTTTTTGGCCTTTTTGTTTGTTATCAAATGCCATAAATACCAAACCATTTGGAAATAGTTCTGAATTACCTGCTAAAGTTTCTTGCCAATTAATAAATTTGGTAAAACCACCACTATTTATAATATGGCTATCGATATCAATTATCATTTTAGACTTTGCTATAGAGTATTTTATTGCCAATAGTGCTAAATTAATCGAAGACACATATTTTAAATGTCTTATTCTGTATATATTATCTATTGTTACAGCATATTTAAAAAGTTTTTCTCCTTCGTAATGGTCTTCATTTTTATTATGTGTAAGAGTTTTTATAAATTTTACTACAACTGGATTATGCATCATAAGCCATTGAGATGGTGAATAATTTAAGAGACTATCTAAACAAAAGCACTCACAGTTATTATTAATTTAACACCATCATTATACAAGGCAATTCATTCTCATTTGCAATTTCTACAATAGCTTTAACACACTCTTGTTGGTTATTATATTTATTATTTAATTTTTTTTTTAACAAATTATTCTCAAGTAGTAATTGTTGATTTAAACGTTCTAATTCATTAATTTTTTTAATCAAACTTTTATATTCAGGATTTGGTAACGAATGTTCAGGTAATGATACTTGAATCCCAAAATCATGAAAATTTATTTCATTATCAGACAAAACTTTTTTTTTTAGTTATTTTCATTTGAACATAAAAAACAAAATCACTAACTTTTTCTATTTGCTCAAGAAAAAAAGTTTTAATGATTATATTATTGTAATGTTTTTAACATACAGAGTAATTGTTCAAAGAACCAAGTAATAGTGATAATTTTGGAAGATATTTAACCAAACCCTTGGCTTATTTTTGACCATGGAGCCATCTGCATGTCACCACCTTTGCTTTTCAGGAGTTTCACATATTGCCAACTCACTTCCCGGGTAATCTCTAGCAAGAAAGTTAAACAAACAAGATAAATCTTTGGCTTCTGTTCTCGAAATTGCCATGTTTATATACGAATATATATGTATTTTAAGCAAGAATAAAAAAAAACTACACTATAAACTTTCATAGATCCTTGTAGATTCTTAAACTACGGGTTTTGAAAAAATGTATTTTGACAATTAGTTTTTTTTTAAAAAATTGGGCAAATTTTTTTTTTGACATTACAAAGTTCACGACTTTGCGTTGATAAGGATGATTATCTACCAATTAGATTTCAAGATGTGATTTGGAATATTCTAAATCTGATTTCCAAATTGGATAAAATACCAGACTGCAATATGCTAAGGTAATCTGATATATGAGTATATACTAGAGAAATTTTTTTACTTATTTCTATTATTTTGAAAACTGTAATAAATTAAAAAATAACAAATAAATAAAAATAATTATTTATTGTGGTTTTCAAAATAGTTGAAAATAATAAAAAAATATTTTTTTTAGAGTACACAGGACACATGTATACACAATAATTTTTAAAAATTTATATTATATAATTTTTGCATATTTTATACACCCCTTGCATAATTATGCATATTTAAACATATTTATATATAAATATGTATAATTATACAAGGGGTGTATAAAATATGCATAGTAATGCGGAGAGTGTATAAAATATATAAAAATTATATAATATAAATTTTTGTATGTACATGTATACCTGTGTACTCTAAAAAATATATTTTTTTATTATTTTCAACTATTTTGAAAACTGTAATAATGTAGCATACAACTCTTTCCGCTAATCCTCGATACCAAATTTAGTTAAGAAGAAAACTAGCAAATTATTGTTAACTAGAACTAAGAAACTATACAAACGACTTTAAGGAAAGCAATAGAGTGACAAAAACTAACAACACCAACTTAGAAAGACAATCAGAACAAGCTTAAAGATAAAAAGAAAAATACAAAACAGTGCTATTTTCTAAAAACGAACAATAATTTTAGAAATTTTTAGCAATTAGGGGGATTTAGCTTGACTCTGTAGTGCTGATCTGTTTACAATACCAAACTGAAACTATAAACAAACAAGAACGCGTTCAAATTTGGTGCAAAACTAAATACACTAAACACGTAATACATAAACATACAAACAAGCAAACAAACAATTACGTAAACAAGACCTAAAGTCTTACTGCACAGATTGAAAATAAAAAATAGCATTCAAGATCGATATGCAGTCAATAGTGATACAAGATGTTCAAAAAGCATCTACAAATATAAACTGGTACAGAAAGTTAGACAAATATAAAAATATCTTTACAAAATCTGAAGAAGAATTTAGACTCATAAAAGAAGCTCACAAAGCAGAGATTTTAAGAATAGATAAAGAATTAGCAATATTAACAAGAGCAGCTTCTGAAGTGCTAAGTTTGTTCAGAAACATTATAGAAACATATCAATACTGTGAATATATAAGAGTGAAAGATAGTAAAAATAGCACTATCAATAATAGTAAGATCAATACAACAGAGAGCAAAGTTAACAAAGACTTAATAGACTGCTTGATCATACAAGAGTGTGGACAAACTGATTATAGAGTAGAAGAAACCTACAAAAAAACTCTTGCAGAAAAAGAAAAAGAAAGATTTGAACTACCGGAGAAACAAAATATTGCAAGAATTAGTATCTGGAGTATCGAGAGTGCAGAAAGTAGTACAAACACTACAAACAATATGCTTGAAGAAGAGAACAAGACAGAGACTGTTGAAGAGCAAATGTCTAAGGACAATACCTCTTAATACAAAAGTACTTTTAAAGAAAAGAGTAATATATATAAGTCAATATAGGCACCTACAATAAGCGAAAAGAAAAGCAGAAAAGAAAATAAAAGACCCAACAAAATCAATACCACACTATGGGATATACTTGTCGAAGCCAGTGCAAAACACATTAGAAAATGTCTTAGCTTCTATGGAAAAGCTACAATAATAGATTTTATAGCAGAAGGTAAAAGCAAAGCTGTATATATATATCAATAACTCCGAAAGATGATAAAAAAAAAGCAGCTCTCCAAATAGTATGAGCCATTCACTATTCAGAAGCCAAAATATCTAGAGTTATACAAAACAAGTTTGATGAAGAAACACTTCAAGAAAGAAGCAAGTTTAAGGCTTTGCTAAAAGGAGTGCCAAAAACAGCAATAGAAACAGCCATGCTAAGGCAACTAAAAGAAACTAAGGCCAAAGCGGTTTATATATCTAAGAACAGAAATAGTAACCAGAGACAAATAGCCAGCATCTACTTCAAGAATGAAGTAGACATGCAAGAAGCACAAAAGAATATAGTATATTACTACAATACAAAATTAAAGTGGGCATCTAAATATAAAAAAAATAACTTAGATATACAAAATTCCCAAAGACTTGAGGCTAAAAACAAAGCAATAGCAACAAATAGCTTCTTAAAAGACAAAGAGGCAAGCAGCTCATATAAAGCTACAGAATTACAGACAAATCCAAGAATAGGCCGAGAGTTGAAACCAAAAAAATATAAAAACTTTTTGCAAGTATTTGATGAAAACACAGAGCCAGAAGATAAGAATTCCAAATCCAAAGCCCAAGAAGATAAGAAACTAAAAATTAGCAAAATTTGCCTTCAAAATAAGAATGATAAGGTAGAAGCAATGCTTGACCAGATCCTAAGCAGATTATCCAATCTAGAAAATTAAGCAAGAGACAAAGGCAAAGGTGTAGCTTATAGCTTCTAAAGGTGCCCCAGTTAAATCAAGGATCAAGGGGTCATGTTCGTATAAAACAATAAAAGAAGAAGCCCCAGGTGCAAGGAGAGTGAATCTAGAAAATCTAAATATTTTAAATATTGGGTTTCATAATATTAATGGTATTAAAAGTAGGATATCTGGCATGCTAAAAAAATTTGGCATGCTACAAGGTATGCTTTTTGTTAA